TAATCATAACTTACTCTTCTATGTCATCTGTGTCTCTGACATTCAGCATCAGTGCTCCTCCATCCAAGAAAACCATATTTTGGGAGTTGGACATCTAAGAGAAACATTTTTGGCCCACCAACATCAATTGAAACAAACAGGCAAACAAATACATTAACATTGGGCAGCATCCAAACCTTTTGCACTACTACATGTATGCTAATAGCATCTTTTGACAAAAATACTGTTCACATGTAAATGTAGTTCTAATTAGAAATAGCAGGAAAGTCAACAGACAAATGGAACTGGAAGGAGGACAGAATTAGACACACTAAAGTAAATATGGCTTAGTGACTAAATTTGACCACTGATTTCTCGCAAGCCTGTCACATGGAGCAGGGCCATAGCCAGAAAAAAACATTATGACTAAGGCAATGTACATGAAAAGATTATGACTAAGGCAATGTGCACTTATTTACTGACTTATAGTTAAATTCTCTTCCTGGGAATTTACATGTAGGGTGTCTATGATGATTGTAAAAAAAAAGAAAAAAAAAGAAAAAAAAAACGGGGGAGAAAAGACTGTTCAAGGCATTTGACTCAGTTTGCCTGTTACTATAATGATGTAGCCACGGCCCTGTGGAGCCATGTGTTTTGAATTGACTTGAAGGTAAAATAATAGCTAACCTATTACTTTCAAGAAATTATGGACTCTCATAATGAAAAGGAATAGTAAAAACTGTAAATTTCTATCAACAAATAATTAAACTAAGTTTTCTACTGGCTGTAACATTTGACTTGTGACAAAAAAATGCACTTGCCAATTGACAGTTTGAAATCAATATCTGGTGAAATTACCAACTTACTGTTTGCAACAAAACTAATATTACTGCAAATTGAATGTAAAATAATAATTACAATTGCAAAGTTTAGGCTACAGTAAGAAGTGACAATTAAATATACCTTACATGTGTATATGAACATGCAAGTTGTAAATAAATTAAATCCATGTTGTGTACATTTACATGAAACAATGGGTTTACAATTACTGCGTGAGGCATGATAACCTGTCTAACAGTAACTGTAAACACACTGTAAAAGTAATCCAACAGACCTGGATAAGCGCTACAGAAAGATCTATTATCATTATCATCATTGTCATCGTGATCAGTATCATTATCATCATCATCATCATCATCATCATTATCATTATCATTATTTTTATTATTAATCTAACCGTATTGGAAACAGATTGTGCTGCCCGTATCCTTCTCAGTTTCAGATAACCTGGATTACTCTTCAACGCATTACCAAGGTGACCACAGTCAAGGGAAACAACAGAGGCAGCAATTTTTAGTACTATATTAGTTAGCTTGTACGACAAATTGTACCAGTGCTGTTTATCATTGCAGCGCAGCAGTGCAAATTTAATGTATGAAACAGATCAAGAATCTCCAAGGAACTTGAAATGTGTCAAAGAGAATGTCTGTGTTTAAGCTGTAGGCTGGGCCAGGGCGGGGTGATGCAGAGGACTTACAAAAAATTCTGGGCTTGATATATAAAAAGAAAATGAAGAAAAAATTCTGTGAAAAATAAATTCCATTTGATCACTGTTAATATGAACAGCATCATTTGAAATTTAAGGATATCAGAGTTGCTGCTTTAGCCTCTCCTTCAGCTTGTACAATTTTCTGCTGGCGTTCCTGTATTGCCTTTTCTACCACAAACTGAGCTCGCTGTGCTTCTTGCTGAGCTGCGATTAAAAAA